AACCAATTAATGCCAAAACCCATGTGCCCACCAAAAAAGATGAAAAAACAAATTTTATAACTATTTTAGTGAAGGACAGAATCATAAGATATATACAAATATCTAATATCCCCTGATTGCAGACCAATAAGCTAAAATGATCACTGCAGCTAAGAAATTGTAAAATGTTTCCAAGTTTTAAGAGCAGTAAAAATAACTGTACCCAAGCAGTGTAATAAATCATTAAAAACAAAAAAGAAAACCTCAAGTAGTTATAATTATAGGTAAGTGAGGTCTTGGAAATGATTTAAATTTTTGTTTTAATGCTTAAAATTAAAGCCTCAAACTAATAAATTACTTAAATAAAATGATAAGTTTATCACCTTGCAAAGTGCTTTGTTCATTGTAGGCATTTAATGTACACATTCCTGGAGTGAATGAATTAATAAACATTTTTATAGATGCTGTCTGTTCATTATATTTGGGATTCTTAAAAAAAAAATCTGTGATGTAGATTGAATGACATTTCCTTACTGGCAATTTTTTGGATAATGAATTATGGGATTTCTAGTTCATACAAAAGAAAAGAAATAATTATCATCTTGAAAGAAAAAAGAGGAGATGACTGGCCAAAAATAATGAAGACTAGAAGTGAAGAGAATTGAAAAGAACAACAAGTGCTTGCCAGTATCTTTCTAAATGTTTGAGAAAATGCTAGATTGTTCTCTAGGCAACAGCATGAAAGTATCTGACTTAAGTGTATGTGTTTAAGTTATGGTGAGGATTAAAGATATTTCATTTCATAGATATATACAAGTAAATGCCGACCAAGAAAAACACCTCCTTGTCAAAGAATTTAATGCCTGGAGTCACCCTAAGACTGAATAGTCAAACAATATGCTCTGAAAAACAACTATTCAAACTTCATAGGACCTTTAAAAACTAATGTGAGCCAATAAAAATTACTCCCATTACTTCCAAATGATGAAATATTAGATTAACTCTACATTGGCCAGAGTGTTTTTGGCAAAACTTTTGTTCTATTTGAAAACAAAAGAAATATATAGAAGCCAGGAACTGGTGGCTCACACTTGCAATCTTAGCTATTCAGGGGGCTGAAATTTGAGAATTAAAGTTCAAAACATCCTGGGCAGAAAGACCCAAGAAACACTTGTCTCGAATTAAGCAGCATAAAGCTGGAAGTGAAACCAGGGCTCAAATGGTAGAGTCCAGCCTTTAGTGAAAAAGGGACAGTGGGAGGTCCCAGTACTGGTATTAGATCCACAAACAAACGAACAATAAATATGAATTAAAAGCAAAGGGATCTATGGGAAATAATGAAGATTTCTAGCAACACTTCTTTTTTTCTTTTTGCACCAGTCTTGGGCACTGTCTCCGTGCTTTTATTCTTAAGGATAGGCTCTGCTACTTGAGCTACAGTTCTACTTTGAGCTTTGTGGTGATTGGTTGGAGAAAAGGTCTCAGTGACTTTGCTGTCCAGGCTACCTTTGAACCATAATCCTCAGATCTCAGCCTCCTGAGGAGCAAGGATTACAGGCATGAACCACTGACACCTGGCATAATAACACTTCTTTACATCATTCCAACAGGGCTGTTTCCTTTCATCAACAGCAAATCTGAGGTTCCTGAACTTACCCATCATTAGGAAAATCAATAGCATTTTCTTCAGGGTGCCTGGGGATGCTTTCTGCCTAAGACTTTCATCCCATTTTTAGCAACATTACAAAAGCGTGATGTAGGATGTCTATAACCTTAGTGTTCACCCTGACTCTGGCTGCTGTAATAATATCTGCTATCAGAGTGAAAGCATAGTGGCTCCCTCTGACAAGAAGTGGTTTTGCCCAGACAGCAAAGCTTGAGACAAATAAATAGGCAGGACATACTGAACATGTGACATCAAAGACCATTGACATCAAAGACAGAACGCCATTTTTTCAGAGACAAAACAATAATTACTTTTTTTAAAAGAGAAAGAAATCTTTAAAAAAGAATAGTAGCATGATAATCCACATTGATTGTGATGTGTGTTTTTAAAAACTCACCCTATGTTTTTCTATATCATTCCCATCAATAAAGCTGGTAAGATGTCCTAGAAGAACTGGGATGTGCATATGAAACATAGCAGGCATGGACTTTCATTGTCATAATAACTATCTCATTTTCTGAAATAGCTGGTGCTCCCTAGCAGTACCCACAAAAGATTCACACCTGGGAAAGAGCCTATAAAAGAGCCCTAGGTTCTGGTCTGGTACTTGTTAGAAATCTACAAAGAATAAAGTTAGATGCCAGGAGATTCCATGTGTGATCAAGCAGTTGTTTTCCTTTTTATTTATTTTTAATGAAGAATGCATTACCTTGATTATGACTATGCAAAATTATAAAACAAAGCAGCACTCAGTAAAGCTGAACCCCAGTAGTTCTCCCAGAAAAAAAGAAACTATTTTAAGAATGCAGAACTTGACTTCATAGTGGCACACGTGCAGTTTTTTAATGCTTCAGAATAGAAACATTTTTTCACATTTACAAAACATGCAGAATAAGATAATACTGATGATTAGATCTGCCTTTGACGATCTGATTTGTAATTCTCATCAATCTATGATATCCAGACAGGCAGAAGTGAACTAAATCCAGGATCTGGGATGGCCAAAGTGATCAAGAACCAAGAACAGAGTAATCCCTAAGGAAAGCAAACCATATGCTAATACTTGACAGGGAAACACTGTACACAACAGTCCCCAGACTCTCCAAGTTTTCTGGGTTTTGTTTGGTCTTGTTTTGAAGTTCATAAGGAGAAAAAGGAAGATGGGTAGAGGATGAATCTGGAAAATCCCTAGAGCTAAAAAGCTATTTACACAGAAGTCTGGTTTCCCAACAACAGTTACTAAAGTTCCTGCACTTGTGCTAAGGGAAAGGGAAGGCTCAGCGGAAGTTCAGTCTAGTTTACTTGATGAACTGGGATTTCTCCAGTCACCTAGTGAATCCTCTCTACTGTCCTGCCGCCTTCCAATCTCCAGGGACGCATGCACCAACATGCAAACCCCCTCGGTGGCTCTAGCTCTACACACACAGATGCATTAACACCAGGACCAAGTCACAACCAGAACACAGCCAGAACCAACCACTCAGAGAGGGCTAACAAGTTGCCTCCAGGGGAGGAAAAAAAGAGAGCAGACCGTGAGCTTTGGTGAGGGGAGGGGAGGGGATGGCACCGCAGGAGAGGCAAAATGAGCCCTGCCTGGACCCCAGACACCTTCTGGAGCTCAGCATCTGGTCCTAGAGTAAATAAGTAACAGTGGTCATTGTCATTAAGAAGAAGAATAGTAATAACAATTTCACCACAGCCTTCCGGGTACAGCAGCTGCCTGTGGAGCGGCTTCTCCAGCTGCCCCACAGCTCCGCAGCCTCTCCAAGCAGTCCTGGGGCTGGGCCAGTGGGTGCCACTTGTACAGAGCCGCGGGCCGGACCCGGCTCTTCCAGGCTCCGCGGGGCTCAGTGGCGCCTGCTGGCCCCTGCTCCGCGTGCTGGCCCCACCCACGCGCTGGCCCCGCCCCGTCATCCGGCCCCGCCCACGCCCCTAGCCCTTCCACTCTCCGATTACGCCCCCTGCCGTGGCCCCGCCCCCTCACCATGGCCCCGCCCTCGCCCCGCCTTTCTCCCGCCCTCTCTCCCTCTCGCGCCAGTGGTGAGACCCCCCCCCACCGGCCTACCAGTCTAGGGATGTTGGTTGCCAAGGTCGGCCTCCTTCGCCTCAGGCTACTTGTTTGGGAGCTGGATCCTACAGGAACACCACAGCCTAACTAGAGCTGCCTAGATTCCCAGGAAAAGGCGATGAAAGATGAACAGTTGGCTTGAAAAGCCTCTGGGTAGTGTAGGAATCCAGTTCTTCCAGCTATCGCTTTGGATATTACAGATGGAAAATTGCCAACATCAACTGGGACTTGCTGCCAGGAAGTGAGCCTTGAGCGTCTGCGTACAATAGAAGGATCTTTCACATCTTTTGACCAAACCCTTTCTAAATTTGGAGCGATAACACTTTGGAGGTAGTGAAAGAAATGTCATTTTTACGGTTAAGAAAAAAAAATCACCCTTTATTGACTGAAATAACATTGACAGTACATTTCCCATTTCACGTGGGAAATTTTAGAATGACCGGTGTGTGTGTATGTGAGTGTTTGCATGGTGCAACATATGCATGTATATATTTTCTCAATAGATAATGTACATATGTGTATATATACACATATAGAATTCTGTGTATATACTATATATAATGTATATACATGTGTGTATGTATATATAATTTCTGTATATGTAATATATATTGTATTTGTAATATATATGTAATGTATATGTATATATAAAATTCTGAGTGGGGCATGGGTCACTCACACCTGTAATCCTAGCCTCTCAGAAGGCTGAAATCCTAATGATTTCACTTTGAAGGCAGGCTGGGAAGAAAAGTCCTCAAGACTTTATTTTCAATTAACCAGCAAAAAGCAGGGCTGTAGGTATGGCTCAATTAGTAGAGCATAAGGTCCTGAATTCAAATTCTGATACTTTTTTTTAGCTGGTTCTGAGGCTTAAACTCAGGGCCTAGGCATTGTCCCTGAGCATTTGTGCTATACCATTTGAGTCACAGTTCTACCACTTGAATCACAGCTCCACTTCTGGCTTTTTGGTGGTTAACTGGAGATAAGACTCCTCAAAGACTCTCAAAGACTCCTACCTTGGCTTGCTTGGCTCCTCAGATCTCAGCCTCCTGAGTGGTTAGTATCTCAGATGTGAGTCACTGATGCCCACTATGTCCTGTCACTTTTTGATTAATTATAAACCCAAAACTTTAAGTAAATTATTTTCCTTATTAAAAAAACCTACTTAGGTTCAGTATGATATTAACATAATTAACAGAATGATTTTCATTAATATGAAATCTAAATTACTTTTCAGCAGCAATTTAAGCACACTCAAAAACTTCAATTCTCACTTGATCAACGATTATGGAAAAAAATTATTGTAAAATAGAAAAACCATTAATACTTCTTCGAAGACCTTTACCTCCAAAACTCCCTAAACTGTCTACATATAAGAAGAAAATCACTAGAGGTATGTGTGTTAATCAGATGTTTGCATTAACCTTTGTGTATTTCAATAGAAATTCATTGACTTGTGCAGCTCAGAATCACTAAGGACATTCACTAATCATAACTGACAAATGTGTGTTGTAAAATGATAACATTTGGTTGTCAATTCTATAAGTACAATACACTCCAAACAAGTCCAGTTCTACAAGTACAGTCTTTATTTGTGTGCTTGGTAATGTAGATTTTCCTCATTGATAAAATTTATTTGTAACTCTAAATCAGCACTTATAGCTCTTTCCAAGTAATGGGTGGCCATGTATAGCTAAGAAAGATATGAATCATTCAACACAATACTCCCTTCTGAGAAGAACTGGGAAACCTATGGCTTTTTGTTTCACTCTGTGAACAAGTGTCCCTTTTCTCTGGTATGTTTAATGCCATGTTTCTTCAACTTTGTGCTTTTTGTTGGTATTTGCACTGTTTAAAATGACCCTTTGCAGCTGGGTGGGTGCCAGTGCCTGTAATCCAGATGCTCAGGAGGCTGAGGTCTGAGGATCATAGTTTGAAACCAGCCCGTCCAAACAAATCTGAAAGACTCTTATCCCCAATTAACCGGCAAAAAAAAAAAATCTCAGAAGTGGAGGTATAGCTCAAGTGATAAGAATGGTAATCTTAAGCAACAAAGCCAAGCAAGTGCAAGAGGCTCTGAGTTCAAGCTCTAATACTGTACACGTGCACGTGCTCCACCTCTCCACCCCTACACACTCGCACACAATGGCCATAAGCATAGTGCTGCAATGCTATCCAATACTTCTGCATAGAATGAGTCTGTACTTTTCAAAGATTAGATTCCATAAAAAGGATTCCATTGGGAGAATAGCCCTGCTTATACCTTGATTGTAGCTCAATGATACTGATTGTAGACTTCTGGATTCCAGACAGTGAGAGAACAAATTTCTGTTGTTTTAAGCCACCCAGTTTGTGGAAATTTTTTTTTACAGCAGCCATAAGAAACTACTATGGATTTGTGTGTTCGCTTCAGCAGCACATATACTAAAATTGGAACGATAAGGAGAAGATTAGCATGGCCCCTGCAGAAGGATGACACGCAAATTAGTGAAGTGTTCCATATTTTTTAGACACGTGAAGAAATGCTCAACCTCCCTAGCCATAAAAGAAATGTAAATCAAAACAACATTGAGATACCACCTCACCCCAGTTAGAATGGCTATACTCAAGAACTCTAATAACAACAGATGCTGGAGGGGATGTGGACAGAAGGGAACCTTACTGCATTGTTGGTGGGAGTGTAAACTTGTTCAACCACTTTGGAAAGTAGTATGGAGGTTCCTCAAAAGACTCCACATAGAGCTCCCCTATGACCCAGCAATCCCACTTTTGGGCATTTACCCACCCAAATAATCACAAACAAGACCATACTAAAGCTACCAGCACAACTATGTTTATTGCAGCATTATTTACCAAAGCTAAGATAGGGAACCAACCTAGACGCCCATCAGTAGCTGAATGGATCAAGAAAATGTGGTATATATACACAATGGAATTCTATGCCTCCATCAGGAAGAATGACATCGCCCCATTTGTTAGGAAATAGAAAGACTTGGAAAAAATTATATTAAGTGAAGTAAGCCAGGCCCAAAGAAACATAGGTCCCATGGTTTCCCTTATTTGCAATAACTAGTATGTTTCTGAGACAAGCAGAAACGGTCAGATCACTTGATGTTAGGCGAAATGAACCCCAAGATAAGGACTCAAATGTTTTTTTCTTTTTTGCTATTGTTTCTAACATATTTATAAGATATTTCTTTGTTGCTTTGTATGTCCTTCCCCACGGCATAACCCCTGTTTTCACTTTATTTGATGTTGGTATAATTTGGGGAGGGGAAAGAAAAAAACAAATTGTTTAAATAGGGATACAGGTGGACCCATTGCAACAATGAGATGTATAAAACGTTATGTCAAAGAAGGAACTTTACAACTTTGGCAGGGGGGAGTGAGATGGAAAGGGATGGGAAGGGGAAACAAAGGAAGAGGCAACAATGCTTGATAAGAAATGTACTCTTTACCTTGCCCATGTAATTGTAACCCCTCTCCATGGTATTTTCATAATTAAAAAAAAGAAACTGTTATAGATTTGTGTGTGTGTGTGTGTGTGTGTGTGTGTGTGTGTGTGTGTATGTGTGTACTCAGAAGATATATCTCTACAAGGGAAATCAGAACAGAAATCACTGATGAATGTGGTTTGGGCATGGTAAGTTTGAGACATTAGGGCTTCTGGATTGAGATTTTAAAATTTAATTAGTGAAGCCAGATGCTGGTGGCTCATGTCTGTAATCCTAGCTACTCAGAAAGCTAAGATCCGAGGCTCATGGTTTGGAACCAGTTCAGACAGGAAAGTTCTGTGAGACTTTTATCTCCAGTTAACCAACAAAAGGCTAGTAGTGGAGCTGTGACTCAAGTGGTAAAGCACTAGCTTTAAGCAAAAAAGTTCAGGGACAGCACCTAGGCCCTAAGTTCAAGTTGCAGGACTGACACCAAAAAAAAAATATTACTGTATATGGCAAATAAGACTGAGGTCCTAGGAGTATTGTGGTAAATTAGGAAAGAAAAAGATTTACTTAGAAAGGAGGGATGAGTCACCAGAATGGAAGGAAAGGAAAAATGATAGCCTGTTATCATGGAAAAAAAGAGTAGATTAAAATACCAAATGCTCAGATATCATTCTTGTACATAAAGTACGTTAACCATATCCCTCCTGCATCATCCTTTCCAGTTATACCTCCAACTATATCCTCAATAGGACCTATTTGACATTCCTGTCATTGTTTCCTAAAGGGTACGTACATTGTTTACAAAGACCTCACCTTGGTGTTTCATACCTGCACATGTAGTATTTTAATCAGATTAACCCTTCACTTACTCTCTTTCCTTTATCCCCCAACACTTATCATTCAACAGCTTGCAGTGACTTGCATTTTGTTACTTTTGTTCATAGATACAGTGCACTTCAATGTGATTCACCAAACTCTAACATTCCCTGAAGATTGGTTTGGGGATGGGAAGGGATGAGTCTGATTAAGGTATATTGTATGTACATGTGAACATATCATATGAAAACCTTCTTGTACAACGAATTGATGCAAATACAGATGAGTGAAAAATTCAACTTCTAATAAAATGTATCCATTTTAAAAACATAAAAGGCAACTACTGGTTTATATCTATGTGTGGATATATATTAAATATATATATATCACATGCTAAAAAGGAGGTCATAAAGAAAAATTATAATACATATCCACTGAGTGTAGCCACAAGACATCAGTAGTAACTGTAATAATAGTTTTGATATTAGAAATAGAAAACTGCAGGTCTCACTTATTTGAAAAGTAAATGTGAGTAGACTTGTAGTGTCAGTGTTAAAATATAAAGTGGTCATCTCCATCCTCAAATGAATCAAAAAAGCAAACAAGCAATCAATGATCTTTTCTATGTTAGAGAATTCTACTTCTAAATATGGGGGGTGGGAGAGAGGCAGGAAACACAAGTTATCCTTCAACCCTGGTTCCTTTACAAGAAAGAATTTAGAGGCAGAATGAATTCAAACATGAGAGCTCCAGCCTTTTCTTAAAGATTGAACACAGGGGCTGGGAAGGTGGCTCAGTGGTAGAGCACTTGCCTTGCATGCTCAAGGCCCTGGGTTCAATTCCTCAGCACCACATAAGCAAAAAGAAAAAAGCCGGAAGTGGTGCTGTGGCTCAAGTGGTAGAGCGCTAGCCTTGAGCTGAAGAGCTGAGGGACAGCGCCCAGGCCCAGAGTTCAGGCCCCACGACTGGACCCAAAAAAAAAAAAAAAAAAAAGATTGAACACAGTACAGGATGTGCTCAGATGGGGTACCATGCAGGTGGGAAGAGAGATGCATTATCCAATCTTTAGCAGAGCATGTATAGGTTTTGTGTCCTTGATATTACAATCTATACTGGATTTCTTTGTACTGACCACATGGCCTGTGATTCTCTGCTTTGCTTCTTCTCATATAGCACTTATTCTAAAAGGTATTATAGCCTTTACTGTGCTTTGTGACTTCAGACATAAGGAAGTTAAACCAAAAGGGTATAATCATTCACTTGTATTCTTGAAGAAATGCATTGAAAGTTGCTAGAGATACATATACATCTGCTTTCTTTTCAAGGTCCCTTGCCTGAATGAAACGGCAATTATCGGTGCTATTTCTTTGTGTAAAGTCTGAGGGTAAGAAGAAATGTGGCACAGTGTGGAAAGACTTACTTAAATATTTTTGCTTCTTCACTTATTTTTCCTTTCTGTATTTCACAGGAAAAACTATCATCCCAAAGCCTATAAAGGTAGGATCAAAATGGAAACTAGTTCCTTTGAAGCAGAAGAAAACTGAACCATTAACGGGTAGGACATTTAAATGTTAATTTTGATGATTTGCTAGAGGTTGAGTGCAGACCTCCTTGAGATTTAGAAGTTTCTGGTAACTCTACAGTGCCATGGTTTTTCCTTTTGGAACCCACCAAGTTCTTTGAGAAGAGTGGAGACATTTGTCCTCTAGGAAGAAGGGTAAGGTGTTCATTTAAATAGTCCCAGGAGCAAGTCACCAGTGGCTCACACCTGTAATCCTAGCTACTTAGGAGGCTGTGACCTGAGGATCGCAGTTTGAAGCCACCCCAGGCAGGAAAGTCCAAGAAAATTTTATCTCCAATTAACCACCAGAAAACTGGAAGTGGTGCTGTGTCTCAAAGTGGTAGATCACTAGTCTTGCATGTAGAAGCTCAGAGATAGTGCCCAGGCTCTGAGTTCAAGCCCCATGACCAGTAAAATAAAATAAATCATCCCAGAGCATTCTCCACAACAAAGACATGTCCTTTAAGAGAAGTTAGGTCACCAGAACCCCATATAATTTAAAGGAAGGGAAAATTTAGCCAAGTCTAGCCCCTTTAGCTTTCGTATGCAGGGAAGGTGAGGAGAGGGAGACTAAAACAATTTCTGACCCATAGAGAAGAGGTTCAGGCCCACTCAAAAACCAAGGTTTAATGATATCTCAGAATACTTCCCACACTGTTTCACCTTATGCTAGATCAATAGCATTATAGCATAATAATAGTGGATTGCAATTGAGGGAGCTATAAGATACATACTCTACTCATTAAAGACTTCATAGGGAAACTCACAGACAACAAAAAAGAAAAGATGAGGGAGGGGGGAACAATGTTCGACAAGAAATGTGCTCATTACCTTATTTACATAACTGTAACCCCTCTGTACATCACCTTTACAATAAAGTAAAATAAAATTTGTAAAAAAGACCAAAAAAAAAGGATAAAGGAAACCGAAGCTACGCATGCAATTATCTACCCTTCTGTAACTTACATATCAAGTTTAGCTTTCAATTAAAAATTACTCTAGCTAAGTATAACTATGCCACAGGTCTGTGAAGCTTATGTAATCACTTAATCTCGATAAAAATATTGGGAGAAAAAATTACAATGTGTGTTTGCTTATGTATTTACTTATTATGTGTTTATCTATTTATTTTTGTATTAGGGCTTGAACTCAGGGCCTGAGTATAATGCTCAAAGTTGGTATTCTACCACTTGAACAACAGCTCTCCTTCTGGCTTTTGGTTGGTTAATTAGATATTAAAGTCCCATGGACTTTTCTACCCAGGCTTCTTTGAATTGGGATCCTCAAGTCTCAGCCTCCTGAGTAGCTATGTTATAGATGTGAGCCACCAGTACTTGGCTACAAAACATGGGGGGGGGGGGGCGGGAATAAATCTAAACAGACGGAGCTAACATCAAAACCATGTTCAGGAATAACACAGACCTTGAAATTGATTAGGTAGAAAACTGAAAATAACTATGATTAATATGTTAAAAATGAATATCTTGCCTTCTCATTTCAATAAAGGTCATCCATGTATTGCGCTCAGCTGAGACAATAGAAAAATGTCATGTAACGTTCTGCCTCATGGGAAAGAAAAGGCACATCTGGTAGACTGAGATACATAAGAATCTGGGCTCAGTGGATTTCTAGATGTAAAAGAGAAAAGACTTACTGTTTAGCCCAACTAAATGTGTGGCATTTTATAGCCAGTATCAGAATGTTCTCAAACTTCATCCAAGTCATCTTGCTAGAGTTTGAATGACAAATGTTTATAATCTTTCCTTATATCCTATATTTCTCCATCGGCTCTGTTCTTCCCAGAGCATCTCTCCACTCTTTCTAAATCTAATATGATTTGGCCTTAGCACTTTTTCTATTGTTCAAACTTTATCCCCATCACTTAACCAAAGCTGTGGCAGCTGAGCAAGCATAAACATATTTCAGATGGTGAGAGATCTGTAAATGGGTAAAGAAAAATTATAAAAGCTAAGACAGTCCTAGTTTTATGCCTGACATACTGATAAATGGAATGTAAATTTTCTTCCTCTCTCTCTCCTTTCAGCCAAGACTAGTAAAACTAAGCTACTCAATGTACCAGTTACTGAAGATAAAATCATTCCAAAAGGAATAGGTAGAACTAGGCGTCTTGAAGTTTCAGAAAAACATCCACAATTACAAGTCAGTGTCTGTAATATCTGTCTTGATCTTCAGATACCAGGAAGACGGACTATGATCCCCAAATCTGTTACCCGTACCTATTGGCACTTACCAGAAACTGCTCCTCCTCCCATATTTTTCCCACGATGTCAGTCAGCTTCTAAGCGAGTTTTTGGGGAAAAGTTGAAAAAACAACTCAAGAAGAAGATTCCGGTTGGTCAAATAAGAGACTCTTCAGATATTCCCTCAAAGTTTTCCCAACCTTTCAGTGGTCGTTACTTGGTTATCACTACCCGGTTAAAGGAAAGTTCTCCTCAGCTTGAAATTTTGCCAAAGATTACAGACTCTGAGCTTCCTTCTACTCTGAAAGTGTCAACTGAAGTATTAGTAAGCTCTGCATCCAGCAGTGTATCTATTAAACCAGAGAAGACTGTATCTTGGAAAGCTGATGTTAAGCAAATCGTCAATAAAGTGGTACTAGGCGATGTTAAGCAAATCGTCAATAAAGTGGTACTAGGCTCAGCTAAGTTTGTAGGAATGAAAAGCTTACCAATACCAGTGATCCCAAGAAAACCTCAAAGACAATCTGAAATAGGTAAATATGATAGAACATGGTCTGTAATAACAAGGGTCAATTAGAGCAAAGTGGGGAGAAATAAATGTAAGCAAATGGGACCCTTCCTCGGGGTTTTAAGGGTGAAAAGGTAAAATCACCTTTTGCATATATATTTAACACCTGGGACAGTGGGCTGTAACAAGAATCCTGATCTTGTTGATCTACCCAGGACAAACTGGGGACTCCAACCATGGGGTAATGATGAGAGCCAAAAGGATCGCTGAATCAAAGGGTCAAAACAACTGACATGAAGGAAAAAATGTGCATGAACAGGAATGAGAAGGTTATCAGATGAACTCCATAAGTAAAGGCCTTCATGGATTCATTTCCATGGATCATCCCAATTCACTAAATAATGAGCAATTACAACGAAGTTCTAATACCCTCAAATGAATTTTAACAACTCCAAAGCTTGTCTCCCCCCCCCCCCCCATTTTTTTTCTTCTAGAGGCTCTCGTAGAAAGTGGGAAGGCAGAGACTGTCCAAAAATCAACACAGGAAGGTAACTTCTAGATTTATATCATTCTTTTAGAAACTATAAAATTCGTTCTCTGCATAAATATTGGTAATTTTGTGTATAGATTGTTTGTGTAATTCAGTGTGTCTCAATGTCACTTTCAGTTTCTTAAGCCAATTACTGATCAATTAACTTTTGGAAAAAAATATTATTAGTATGTAATTGTTCAGAGCAGTCACAATTCCATGAGTCAGTTTATGAGCACATTGCTTCTTGGTCAGTGTCACTCCTTCCTTCATTCTCCCTCCTTTTCCTCCTTCCATCCCTTCCCATGAGTTAGGAATTAATTTTTCTGTGTGTGTGTGTGTGTGTGTCTATGTGTGTGTGTGTGTGTCTGTGTCGTCTGTGTCTGTATCTGTGTGTGTCTCTATGTCTATGTGTGTCTCTGTGTGGTCCTGGGGCTTGAACTAAGGGCCTAGGCAGTGACCCCGAGGTTAATTGCTCAAGGCTACCACTTGAGTCACAGCTCCACTTTTAGCTTTTTTGATATTGGAGATCAGAGTCTAATGGACTTTCTTGCCTGGGCTAGCAGAGATCTTCATATCTCAGACTCCTGAGTAACTAGGATTACATGTGTGAGCCACAGGTGCCTGGCTAACTTTGGACTGTGAACCAGATATTATAGTGATGTTAGGGATGCCAAAGCTGACATATGATTATTTTTGTTTGTATATTTTATGGTGCTGGGAATGGAACCCAGGGAGACCTGTGCTGAGGAGGCAATGTGCACTGCCACTTAACTATACATTGAGCCTGTAAAAGTTGATGCATTTTTTAATCTGAATGTGGCAGATAGACATGAATTAATGAGAGTTAACTACTAATTCCAGACACTGTCATAGGGCTTTAACCTTAGTTTTTTTTTTAGCATAAATTGAAAAAAAAAAAAAAAAAGACTACATCATCCCAGGCTTTGCATTCGTCTCTACCAACACTATCACAAAAATAGTAGGTAGCAAAAAATTTGTAATAACCAGGCACCCAAAGACAAAAACAAAATAAATGAAAACTAGCAGGAAATAATACCCACAGGAGTGTTAGGTATTAGAATTACAGACACAAATTTTAAGATAGCCCTAAAACTTCTCGCTCTATACATGATTGATAGCTTCTACTGGATTTGCCTTCTTGCCAAATAAACTATTAAAGCTGCCAAAATGTACATGAAATCAATGTTGAAGGCACTGGAAAGTAACCAATGCAGGCATGGATTTAGTGACTAAATACTTGAAGGAAGGGAAGCTCATGCCAGAGTTACACCTTGACCTTAGCTCTTTGCTTATTGGCGTTTGTGCTGTGGGAGAAGAGAATCCAAGCAGAATGTGTCCATGTCAGGGGGCAGAGGAGATGGCTCTTAGCTTCAAAGCTGAAAGGATCAGTAGAACATAGGGAACAAAGTTTAGGACAAGAGAGGACTGAAAGGAAGTAAATTTGGAAATCTGTTTACAAATTCCCTCAAGGGTACCAGATAATTTCTAAGCTGGGAATTGGGAAACAGGACGCTGAGACTTACTGCAGAGGGAAAATCAGCAAAGAAACTAAAGAATCACATAAATTTTTCTAGTTACATCAAAAGATGGATAATAGAGCTCAAATTCTGCCAAACTGTTAAGTGCCCTGGTGAACACATGGAGCTCTGATCAGAAAACCTATACCTAAAAATAGGCCCATCCTAACAAAGCTCAACACTAGGCATGAAAATAATCAGTGCTACTCTTGACTAAGAAAAAGAGGGGTGGGCAGGGGAGAGTATTATCCATACTCCTTAAAATTGTTCCTTTATAAATGTTATCTCAGCATTAAGTTTTAAAAAATATCACAATAGGGCTGGGAAGGTGGCTCAGTGGTAGAGCACTTGCCTTGCATGCCTGAGGCCCTGGGTTCGATTCCTCAGCACCACATAAGCAAAAAGAAAAAAGCCGGAAGTGGCACTGTGGCTCAAGTGGTAGAGCGCTAGCCTTGAGCTGAAGAGCTGAGGGACAGCGCCCAGGCCCAGAGTTCAGGCCCCATGACCGGACCCCCCCCCAAAAAAAATCACAATACATCAGAGACAGAGGTCTGGAAATCAAAAATTCAAAGCCAGCCTAGGCTATAGAGCAAGAGCTTGTTTCAAAAAGAAAAAGAACACAAAAGTGAGAGGAAGAAAGAGAGATAGAGAAAAAGTAAAGAGGAAAGGAAGAAGGAAGGAAGGAAGGAAGGAAGGGAGGGAGGGAGGGAGGGAGGGAGGGAGACAGTCATGGATGCAGAGAGGGAGGGAAGAAGGAAGGAAGGAAGGAAGGAAGGAAGGAAGGAAGGAAGGAAGGAAGGAAGGAAGGAAGGAAGGAAGGAAGGAAGGAAGGAAGGAAGGAAGGAAGGAAGGAAGGAAGGAAGGAAGGAAGGAAGGAAGGAAGGAAGGAAGGAAGGAAGGAAGGAAGGAAGGAAGGAAGGAAGGAAGGAAGGAAGGAAGGAAGGAAGGAAGGGAAGAAGCACCCTACAAAACAAATTGTCTGAAAACTAGTGGAAAGAAAAGATCAGAAACAGCCCCTAGTTGGAGTTTCTGACAGGGTTTTAAAAGTCACTGTGAGTATTGTGCTCAAGAGAATAAAGAATAGGTTGGAGAGATTCACTGAAATTCTGGAATTTGGGGTTTAAAAATTAAACTCAAAATTCTAAGGCAGAAAAAGAACATAACAAATGAATCTTTGAGTAACAGTAGTTAGCAGGAGGTAATACTCCATCTGTAGGACTTTCTGACCCCCACCTGCCCTCCCTGTCATTCAGCCAGTCTGTGACATGGATTAATTTTGGGGTCTCCTTCACCTTATGAGATTAGACAATATGTATAGCCTAATCATATTTTTTTTGTCTTTGAGTTTTTGAGGGTTCACTCCTTGGAAGATTCAAAGCAAGTGAAACAGATACTTCAGAGACCTATGAAGAATTTCTATTGATTTCTTCTTTCCCACTCAAAAGGCAGCTAGGGTGGGTGAGCACACAGCTCATTCCCTCTGCCATCCTTCTTGCTGCATTCCCTCTCCCAAGAACAAGTCTCTTTATATCACACCATACACCTTTCTTTATTCTGCAGTTAATTTTTATATCTATTGATCTGAAAGGGGTCCGGTGTGTTTTCAGAGTTCAAAGGTGAACTTTTTGATGTTGTAGTGATGCTAAGATGCGTTTCTTTCTCTCATTGAAGCAAATGACCTGCAAATCTCAAAACATATTGGAGATCTCAAAATACATTCTGGCAAGTAATACAGCAAGAACGGATGCACATTTATAAACTGATTACTGTACATAAAATCTCCAACTATTTTTTCAGCCAATACCTGGTGTATGCTTACACAGTCCATATTTTAATGGAAGGCAAAGCCCACCACGTCATGACAAAGTGCATTTGGATACAGTCTTTTTATTTCCCTCAGTTCTTCAGCTCAAAACAAATGCTCAAACACTTGAGCCACAGTGCCACTTCTGGTTTTCTGGTGGCTTATTGGAGATAAAAGTCTCACAGACTTTCCTGCCCGGGCTGGCTTCAAACCTCGCTCCTCAGATCTCAGCCTCCTGAGTAGCTAGGATTACAGGTGTGAGCCCCCAGTGCCCAGCATCCCTGAGCTTTTTTTTCAAGGCTAGTTCTCTACTAATTGAGCCACAGCTCCACTTCCAGCTTTTTGGTAGTTAATTGGAGATAAGAGTCTTACAGACTCCCCAACCAAGGCTGGCTTTAAACCATGATCCTCAGATCTTAGCCTCCTGAGTAACTAGGATTACAGGTGTGAGCTACCAGCTAGATAGTCTTTTCTTGGCTAATTCCTGAGCTGTTTGGTTTTTTTTTTTTCCTTTCCTTTTCTATGTGGAATCTCCAAACTGAGAGAAGAGTTAAATTGCACAGGGTATTTGGATCAAGATGATGTTAGGAGGGAAATGGAGCTGTCTCTTGGGAGGTGATATCTGAGCTATGCGGTTTCCTTTATATTTTATGTTCTCTTTTGCTTTGTTTATTTAGGATTGATTAGAACCACTGGAACCATCAGAACCATAAAGCCAGATAGCCATGTTTTACGTGGTGAAGGTTTTAAGTCAGTTGCAGCCACACGCTATGAAACTATCATGGCCATTGTTGAACTGGCAATCGTGACCTGCCAAGTACATGGAAGAAATGCACTTAATCTCAAGGTTTGCTACAGCTTTTGAACATCAGTCTCCTGCTGCACTAACAAGTACTTTTTGAGTATCCTATTGTAGGTTAGTTTCCATGGTATTGATGGAGTCTTTCCTAATTCAATAGATTCCCCCAAGAACATAGTAAAATTGCATCTCTAAATCTGTCTGTAATCATTTGTTTTTAGTCTCACCAGCTATATTATCAAAAGATAATTACAGTCCTTTTTTTTTCATTACCCAACCTGGTATGGACAGTGGGTTTCCAACTTATTATTATACTTTTAAGTTATCAAAAATCTTTGGAACTCATGCCAAATCTACTGCTAGGCTAGATTTGTACAAGCATGGAGAATAACAATAATAGGAATTAAAGTCTATTAAATATTAATTATATTCTATATGAACACTAAAACTCACTGCTCTGCAAAGTATATATTAGAATCTTTACTTACCTATGAAAACCCGGGGGGGCTGGGAAGGTGGCTCAGTGGTAGAGCGCTTGCCTTGCATGCATGAGGCCCTGGGTTCGATTCCTCAGCACCACATAAGCAAAAAGAAAAAAGCCGAAAGTGGTGCTGTGGCTCAAGTGGTAGAGCGCTAGCCTTGAGCTGAAGAGCTGAGGGACAGTGCCCAGGCCCAGAGTTCAGGCCCCACAACCGGACCCCCACCCCCAAAAAAAGAAATAAAACGCTGAAGCTTAGTGAAACTATATTTCATGAGACTACCCAGTAAGCAGGTAGAAGAGGTTGGATTTGGACCCAGAATTCTTTGTCCTCCAATCTGTGTGTTTAGCAGGCACTAGTGGCTCATGACTGTAATCCTAGCTACTTAGGAGGTAGAACTGAGGTTCACAGTTCAAAGCTAGACCAGGCAGAAAAGTCTATGAGACTCTTACTTCCAATTAATCACCAAAAACCCAAAGTGGAGCTGTGGCTCAAGTGGTAGAGCACTAGCCTTGAGCAAAATAGCTCAGGGCTTGAGTTCAGGCCTCGGGACCCAAACACCACACACACACACACACACACACACACACACACACACACACACACACAATCTGTATGTCTAATTGAAATAAGAAAAACAGCAGAGACCATTTTGAAAATGCCACCCATTAGACAGTGACATGTGCAGTTTTCAATATGGAAAGACTCTTCTCCATCAGTCAAATCTCTAAGAATTGTTTCTTTTGCCCTGTAGTTTGTAACCTGGGAGGGAGCTTAGCATCAGCGTAGCAACATTGATTGTGAGGTCACTTAGCACATTAAGTTTTCATTTTGTTTATTCTCTGAAAAACAGTATAATCTTTCTTTTAAAAATTTTATTGGTCTACATTACATAGTAAGAGGTTTCATCATAACATTTCCATATGTGCACAAAATGATCATACTTACCCTCTGTGTTACGCTTTCTTTTCCCTCCCCATCCCCCACCCCTTCTTTTTTTTTTTTTTTTTGCATTGTCTAAGAGCCACCTTTTTATTTCAGGATTTTGCTTCAGTTTCTCCTACTTTTTAACAAGTAGTAGCCAGACACCAGTGACATCTCCTTTTCTATGTGTGTTGCTTTTCTGTTTTCCATGCATTTCAGCTGTTCTGTCCCCATCTCATGATTCCTGATACTCTTCTTCTCTTTGTCTTTGAATTTTTACCTCTCTTCTCTCTTACAGTTTGTCCTTTCTTCTTTTTCTCTCTGACCCTCCTCAAATCTCATGCAAGAACCTTCTAATCTGTGATTATTTCCCTCCCTCCCTCCCTCCCTCCCTCCCTTCCTTCTTTTCTTCCTCCCTCCCTCCCTCCCTTCCTTCTTTTCTTCCTTCCTTCCTTCTTTCCTTCCTTCCTTCCTTCCTTCCTTCCTTCCTTCCTTCCTTCCTTCCTTCCTTCCTTTCTTCTTCTCTTCAGAGAGTGTCTCTTTGTAGCCCAGGCTGACCTTTGCCAGCCTCTTGAATGCTGATATGAGCCACGATACCCAGCTACATGGCATTTTCTGAAGGCAGACATGGCACTATGTGTGAAGGGCCAGAAGTAGTTTACAAATGAATAATTTGGGCATTATGCCAAATACAGCAGAACACACATTCATCTCTTCCAAGAACTCAGCTTCCCACCACTCATATGTAGCACTTCTATTTTCAGTGGAAACTGGAGTTTTCATGATTTCAACTCTCAAGGTTTCAATAGGATTTTAATCTTTCAGGATTGTAATTTGGAGGATTTGATATTGTGGCTTTCAGAATTATGATCAACACCACCAACAAAACTAATAATTTCAGCATGTTTACCATGTTTAAGGTTTGGGCCACAGAAAAATAAGATGTGCTTTGTAAACCACCAGAGGAAACTGAGACTATAATTCAATATAAAATCACATTAAACAGAAAATACAGGCAAAAGACTTTTAACAATTTACTGAAACAAATTACCCTTTTAAATTTGAAAAGATGCTCTCTCTCAGTCAGGATAAGCGCAACACAATTTAAAAGTACCTGGAAGCTCTAGCATGATAACATAATCCTGTAATGCCAGAATTTTAAAGATGGAGCCATTAAGATAAATTTGAAGCCAGCTTCCACTGTATAGCAAGATCCTTCTTCAAAAACCAACAACTAAGTAAAACTAACACTACACAGAGTTACAATTTCTCCATGAACTTAGGAAAGTTTGATTGTATATCTTATTGCTGAGGTGGTCTGTCATACTGTTGTTAGATATTCCAAAATGCTGCAATCCTGTGGGCAGATTTTATATTAATCATTAATTCTTACCCTTTGTCACTTTCCTTTAGGGATTTTCTCTCCGGTATTGTCCAGACCTCTCACCAATTGCTTTACAATTGGTATATCTTAACCTAGCATTTAATGATCTCACCCAATTTCCTCATGAAGTGAGTCCATTTTATTATTGTTTGTATATTGATATAATTTATTATTGTGAATAATTGTAACAAAACTAGACAGTTTAAACGCTCCAAAATTATTTTAAAGTAAACACATTTTGGGTTGCTTCCGAAAAAGGCTCACTGTAGAAAAGTACAGATTTTTTTCTTAGGAAGACTCAGCACTATGATCCTCAAAGACTGGGTGAAAGTCAGGTTCTCAAATACATTCTCATAATTGTGTCACTTATAACAAGTAACTTCTTCTTCTGAATAAAACCTAAAGTACCTCTATCCATGTGCTAATCATGAGCTACAGCAACCAAGTTAATAACCAGACTTGTGTGCCAGTACTGGGGTTTGAACTCAGGGCCTGGCTGCTGTCCCAGAGATTTTTCACTCAAGGATGACATTGAGCCACATCTCCAACTTCTGTCTTTTGAGTGGATAATTGAAGATTAAAAATCTCATGGGCTTTCCTCCCCAGACTGGCTTCGAACCTCAATCCTCAGAGCTCATCTTCCTGAATTAGTGAGGATTACAGGTGGGAGTCACCAGGACCCAGTTACCAGTTAACAGTAACAAGATTTAATTACCATAAGGAAGGGTTCGACTTCTGCTTAATAAATTGAATGAAAAATCATCAGATACTGTGTCACTTCAAATAAATGAAACACTAAGAGTAATTAGGGGCAGATTCTGTTTTCAGTGGTTTGGGTAAATGTTTTACTAGTTGCTGGATACTTGGTTGTTCATAAATTGACTTTCAGAATATTGACTTTTATTGAATTGAATTTTGGCAAATTGCCATTCTTCCTGTTTCAAATACCTAATATTGGAAACCTTTTTTATCACAGCAGACAAAATGCCTATTTTGTGGAACTTGTGCTGTAGTGGGGTGAGAGCACTGGTGTACGTACACCAGCATTGTGTGCCCTGTGGTGGTGAAAGCCAGGAAGAAAAGTAATGCAAGAGGACGCGACAGAAGTAGTAATGCTGTAGGGGTTTCTTTTCACTAGGAAGAATTACCCTGTTCTTTTTCTAATACAAAAAATAAAAACAGTTTTTACTAATTTTTTTTTCCAGTCCTGGGACTTGAACTCAGGGCCTAAGCACTGTCCCTGAGCTTGTTTAGCTCAAGGCTAGCACTCTATCACTTGAGCCACAGCACCACTTCTGGCTGTTTCTGTGTATGTGGTACTGAGGAATCAAACTAAGGGCTTCATGCATGGTAGGCAAGCACTCTACCACTAAGCCACATTCCCAGCCCCAGTTTTTACTAATTTGACTAGACAAAATTCTACTAATTTGACTAGACGAGAATTCCCAGGGAATATAAAGATCTTAGTTCTCCAAGTTCATTTCTATCTTACACACAAATTATCTGCCCAAAAATATTCTATCCAGCTGTGTATTGGTGTCTCACACCCATAATCCTAGTTACTCAGAAGGCTAAGATCTGAAGATGGCAATTCAAAGCCAGCCTGGGCAGAAAAGTCCATGAGACTCTTATCTCCAATTAACTACCAAAACCAAACAAACAAAAACAGAAGTAGGACTGTGGATCACAGTGGTAGAACCTTAAGCAAAAGAGCTCAGGAACCACTCCCAGGTCCTGAGTTCAAGCCCCACAACTGACAAAAATACATTCTATCCAATTAAAAAATCAGGTAGAAGTATAAGGGGGCTAAAATCAGGTAGAAGTATAAGGGGGCTATTAAGATGTAAGATATAAAGTGCTTTTTTAAAAAATACTAGGACTTGAATTCAAGGTCATACTTGCTTGGGTGATGCCTTACTGCTTGAGCCACTCCTTCCGCCTGGATTTTTGCTGGTTACTTGAAAATGAAATCTCAAAGATGCTTCTTCTTCAAGCTAGCTTTGACCCTTAATCTTTCAGATTTAACCCTCTCAAGTAGCCAGGATTACAGACAGAGCTGAACTACTAGCACCTGTAAAAAGGTGCTAGTAGTTCTTCTCATTCTTCAATAGGCTAATTATTTTCAGTTAGCATAGGGTGAAGGCAGTGAATACAACCCCATGGTTGGGGTAGGTGGGAAAGCTGCAGTTAATACAGGTTTCATAAAAAGTTCCAAATATTGGAATTAGGTAGAGCACAGAGTAGAATAGTTTAGGGTGGGAGAGGGTTGAAGCAGAAATATTAAATGAAAAGACTGTTAGTAGAAGAAAAGTTCAACCCTAATCAGGAAGATTAATTCTATGCACCTTTCTGGTGAATACCTCTTCCCTCATTTTCATCTGATGGCCTTTCATATTTAGAAAAGGCCTCTTCTTGATCAAAGGTATATGCATACCATAGTTGCAGTATCTCACTGGGTCTACTAGAGCTAGCTGTTAGTTATAAAAAACTGACTGAAAGAATCTATTAAGGGCTATGACATGAGCCAATAAATATTTCAATAGTGAATTTACTGTATTTATTCAGAATTTATACGGGTTTTAATGCTGTATTATCTCATCCATGTTTGTTTCTCTTTTATGTCCCCCAGATACTTTCTCTTAAAAATTTACAAGTACTGATACTGAGAAATAATCCTATCAAAGAAATTCCTTCTGAAATTTACCACCTTAAGTACCTTAGAGTATTTGCCATTGGATTCAATTTGATTTATGATCTTCCAAGTGGGTAAGGTTGATTGTCTGGGAGTATAAACACAGAAAATAAAGAGCTTGCACTTTCGTTAAGAATCAGTTTCCCTTTTGAAAGTAGCTGGAAGCTTTTTGGTTATTCATTAATTCTTACTCTGTTAAAATTTGCTGATTTGTTTCTTATTCTGGTATTCAAAATTATTCTACCAGCTAAACAGTTGGTAGACAATATGGGTCTATGAATGAACATGCAGACATCTCTTGTGAAAGGAATGAATGCAAATCATCTAAAGTGATTCAGGTGAATTGCCCCAGTATCTTTGTGTGTGTGTGTGTGTGTGTGTGTGTGCGCGCTTGCACGCGTGTGCATGTGCATGTGTGCCTGTTCTGGGGCTTGAATCAGGGCTGAGTTGCTATCTGTGTGTGTGTGTGTGTGTGTGTGTGTGTGTGTGTGCATGTGCATGTGTGCCTGTTCTGGGGCTTGAATCAGGGCCCAGTTGCTGTCCCTGAGCTTTTTGTGTTCAAGGCTCGTGCTCTATCACCTGAACCACAGTTCTACTTCATCATTTTTAGTGATTAATTGGAGGTAAGAGTCTCATGGACTTTCCTGTGTGGGCTGGCTTCAAACCATGACCCTCAAATCTAAGCCTTAGCTAAGTTTAGCTAAAGTTGGATGCTATGAATTTATAGTGACATGAATTTGTATTCCCATGTGATGTTCTCAATAGCTCTCTCTTTTTATGAGAGGAAGAAGGTAGCTACTGGATTGTCCATAGCAACCTTATTTACTCTGAAATAGTCTGAAAAAAAAGTCAGCAATTCAGTCGTGCAACAACAGGGTAACGGAAAACCCACGACTTCTGTTCTTAATAGACAAAAGGTGGCCTCCATCTAAATGTTCATTAAGAGATGAATGTATAAGCAAAATTATACACACATACATTCTCACAAAGAATGAAATGCTGGCCCATGCTACAACAAGGATAATTCTTCAGAGCATTATGTTATGTGGAATAAATCAGAGAGAAAAGAACAAATATGGCATGACTCCACCTATATGAGATCCCTAAGAGCAGGCAGATCCATTGAGACAGAAATTGAAGCTGAGTTTGTAAGAGGAGAAGGTAGAGAAAGAGGATGTGGTGGGGGCTGGGAAGGTGGCTCAGTGGTAGAGCGCTTGCCTTGCATGCCTGAGGCCCTGGGTTCGATTCCTCAGCACCACATAAGCAAAAAGAAAAAAGCCGTAAGTGGCGCTGTGGCTCAAGTGGTAGAGTGCTAGCCTTGAGCTGAAGAGCTGAGGGACAGTGCCCAGGCCCAGAGTTCAGGCCCCATGACCAGACCCCCCCCCCCCAAAAAAAAAAGAGGATGTGGTTTTACCCCACGCTGGCCTTGTTTGACGGATATGCAATTTAGTTTTGGAAGTGTATAATGCTGATTTGGTACAATACTGAATTTTCAGGAGAAGCAGAAGGTAGAGTAGGAAAGGTCTCTGGACAAGTCTCAGGTCCCATTGAGTGAATGCCTCCACTTTCAGCTTTTTACTGAAAATTGGACGTAAGAGTCTTGAGAATTTGGCTTCCTGAACTGGAAAAGACTAAATGACTTATTTATCAGAATGTGATTATTTCTTACCTTCTCAACCTAGGAAGCTATGTAATGCACCCAAGGGGAAAAAATCTGTTTTTAAAAAAATCAAATAGGGTTTTGTTGCACTCTAAACATCTCACACCAGTTTGAATGGATAGATAACTCATAATTAGGAACTTACATGAAAGTTATATCACCTATAATGAAAAGGAGTCTATATAAATTACAAGATCTTACAAAAGGATACTTTACACCACTACTTATTTCATTGTTTTACTCAGTAATGAAAGTACATACTCATTTTAACGATTGATTTTTCTGTTTATTTAAGGTTATTTTCCCTTCCCAGTCTTGAGGAACTTGATGTTTCCTACAATGAATTTACTGCCATTCCAAATGAAATCCAGAAACTCAGGTATTTTTTTGGAAGTGGCTAGTTCCCAGTTTTATCCCTTGAAGAATAATTGGTAAAGATGGTGCTAAGAACACTGAGTTATTTATTTAATGACCATAAAATATATGAGGCATGTAAAGTTTATGCAAAATCTGAATGATTAATGTACAGAACTTTATAAGGATCGGAGTCCCTATAATTTTTAACAAGGTGTAAAACATAACCTATTGTACCTTGGAATAAGATAAAACTTCCTTGACTTTATTAAGCTTAAATGAATAAGTATGTATTGATATTTGACTTAGCTATTAGAACATTTTTCTGTGTATCATTATACTGTGATATATGATATAGTATTCCTGTGTTTGGAGATACTTCTTTTTCTATAGTGACACAGTTGGCAAACATCTCTGGACACATGTTTCAACTGTATTACTCACACAGTTTGTGTTTATTTGCATAGTAATGTTGGCTAGGTTAACTTTCTCTTGATTCTAAAGAAATACTGAAATACATGTTTTGTTGCTACCAAGTTTAATGTCAATTGTAAAGGATGCCAGGTCAAAATTTTAGTTCAGTATTTTACATTGCATCAGCATCTTTTTAACACTATGGTTTTCTTTATGTGCAGCTCACTTGACAAACTGAATGTAGATGGGAATGAGTTGACTGCTTTCCCGTCTGGAATTCTGGACCTTAACCTGACAAAACTCCAATATGAGAATACATACACTCATCCTGCTTTTTGGGAACAGAATTCCAGAAATAGTCCCCTAAGACTTACTGATATCTGTGCTTTTTATATTCTCAGAAATAACCTCTGTATGTTTCATGATGAAATTTCAGCAGAAGTTCAAAGTTTACTTGAAAGGTATGTCAATTCTAAAGTGCCTTTCACCAAAGTATACATTTGAGTACCTAAAATACTGCTCAAGCTGGGCATTGGTTGCTCACATCTATAATCCTAGCTACTTAGGAGATTGATCATGGTTCAAATACAGACTCTTGGCTCCAATTAATCACCAAATAGCCACAAGTGATGCTGTGGCTCAAGTGATAGAGCACTTGATAAAAAGAAAAAAAGGTCAGGGGGTTGTAACAAAGCCTTACAGACAGGTACAAACAGTAAATCCTCTTTTGCAACCCAGAACTCATTGCTGAATATGAGATTTTGGTTCATGTAAGAAGGAATACGATTCTAACAACAGATGGCAATGTGAGGGTTTGTTAACTTACACAGGTTGCTCTGAGAATAACGTTGGTATAAAAAAGCAAAAGAAAGAAGGAAGGAAGGAAGGAAGGGAAGGAAGGAAGAAAGAAAGAGAAAGATGGAAGGAAGGAAGGAAAGGAAGGAAAAGAAGGAAAGGAAGGAAGGAAGGAAGAAAGAAAGAAAGATGGAAGGAAGGAAGGAAAGGAAGGAAGGAAGGAAGGAAGGAAGGAAGGAAGGAAGGAAGGAAGGAAGGAAGGAAGGAAGGAAGGAAGGAAGGAAAGGAAGGAAGGAAGGAAGGAAGGAAAGGAAGGAAGAAGGAAAGAAAGAAGTCAGGGACAATATCCAGGCCCTAAGTTCAAGCCTCCCTCTCCACCTCCACAAACACACACAATAGATGGCAAGTTTTGCTGTCGTGAAGGACTAAGGCTTTAACCTCTGTATACTGATAGTCCACCCAAATAGATCTCTATTTCCTTCAGATAGTATGAAGCTATTTTTACTTACATATTCACCAACAGTGTCCAAACTATTTAAAAATATTTGTTGTTGGGCATCTGTGGCTCAAGCCCGTAATCCTAGCTATTCAGGAGGCTGAGATCTGAGGATCAAAGTTCAAAGCCAGCCAGGGCAGGAAAGTCTGGGAGACTTATCTCCAATTAGCCATCAAAAAGCCCTAAGTAGGGGGTATGGCTCAAGTGCTAGAGCACTAACCTTGAACAAAAAAGCTCAGGGACAGAGTCCAGACCCCTAGTTCATGCATCAGGATTAGCACAAAAAGAGAGAAAGGTGTTTGTTGTATGCCTAAGAAGGGTGATTTACCAGGAATATACAAATGATCAATATTGACTTTATAAAAGACAGGTGTTACAGTTTGTGTCTTCAAGGCTCTCTCCCCCACCCCCACCCCAGGGTGGTGCTATGGGGGAAGAGGTAAAACCTTTAAGAGGTAGGGCCTCGTGAGAGATTACTGGGACACAGGACCTTGAAGAGAATGGTGGATATAAAGATCTTCCCATTTCTCTTTTGCTTCTTTGTCATGAGGTGAGAAGCTTTCCTCAGCCACTGGCTCCCACAACAAAGTTCTGCCTCCACCAGGCCCAAAGCAATGGGATCAATGCCACAGGTTTTTATCTTATTGGCTGTTTCTTCATTTCAGCACATCCACGTGTGACTGGTGTCAAGGCCCCAGATTTGGAGGTTTTCACATCATCCGATCCACTGATATTTTTGGAACCGCACAGCTTCCTATTTTGTTTCTGGTCTGTTCTACTTCCTGCCTTGAGAAAATGAGGGAAACTAATTTTATTTACACACGTCTTACAAATAAAATAATAACTCTAAATGTGGACTGGACAGATGAAGAAGAATACAGTTGATACATACTATGTTTAAAAGCCAATAATAGCTACACATGAGCAATTCATGTCTTGGAGTAACAGGTTCTGAATGGAAGACACCAGGGTCTCCTTATATAGTGCTCTTTGTTATCCTAGCTCCTTCTGCAAATTTGTAATGATTAGGAAAGTGTTATAGAATAATTACTCATGAAAAATCAGCACAGGCCTTTGGATTTCCGTGGAGATCTGGAAGATTTCTTTTAGACCAGGCTCATTATAAGAAGATAATTGTCCAAATCCTTTGCAAAATATAAAAAGGATTATGTTTTATATTTACATATGGTCTCTTCATGTATACAAACTAAATGACTAAGAGCATCTCAAAGTCATCACTGAAGTGTGTGTTGATATGATTTCCAAGTTACTAACCCAAGTATTTGGTGTAAGCTTGTATATTTCTGTGGAAATCTGTCCAGTGTAGACGATTTCAATTCATTTGCTTTGGGAATAAAATATTAAGTCCACACTAGTCTCCAGTTGCTTGTATTCATTTCCTGGGTTCTTAGAAAACTTGAACAGGTGAGGTATAGTGGTACATATGTGTCATTGCACAGGAGGTGCATTCTACATTTTTATGTTACTGTAATTGCTTTATTTTTATTGTTTTGTCAGTCATAAGGCTTCAACTCAGGCCTGGGCATTGTCCCTGATCTCTTTTGCTCAATGTTAGCACTCTACCACTTTAAGCCACAGCATCACTTCTAGTTTTCTGGTGGTTAAATGGAAGTAAGAGTCTCACAGACTTTCCTGCCCGGGCTGGATTGGAGCCACAATCTTCATATTTCAACTTCCTGAGTAGCTAGGGTTACAGGCATGAGTTACCAGCACCCAGATTATGTTATTGTCCTTTATTGTTAAACACGGTAAGTCCATCTTCATTTTCCAAATTATATAACTATTGACCTGTATCTTGACTACATTATGTTTACATTGCCCTTTATGTATTTGTCTGATCTATATTAATTATTTAAAATCCTTTTGTATGTTTTTTATTGTAAAACTACTGTACAGAGGGGTTACAGTTACATGAGCAAGGTAATGAGTACATTTCCTATGGAGCATTGTTGCCTCCTCCTTTGTTTTTCCCCTACCATCCCTTCCCTCTCACCTCCACAACTACCCTCCCCCGCCGACTTAGAGTCTTACTATTAATCTCAGCTGCCTTAGAACCCTTTATGTCTCCCCGGCTGGTCTTGAATTTAGGATTGCCAGCATCAGGCCTCTGAGTGCTGGAATGATGGATATGTGTCAATACCCCTGACTCTGTACCTTATGTTTGGATTACTGAATCACTCCGAATTTCTTTAGTATGAGCAGTGACATATGGCTCTAACATTCAAGTCTTTCTAGCATGCCGGGAAGTTGTGGTACTCAGTCTTTACCCTAACATGTTTACTAACATAAAACACCCTTTTCAAGATACACTAAATTCTTCTTGTATACTATAACAATTTTCCCACTTTCTTTACTTTTCCAATAATTTGTCTACTTAATATCAATATCACCCTATTTTATTTAACAGAAATCACATCTTGTCAGTTCTAATTACTTGCTATCCTTATGAAATCTCTGTAGCTAAGTCTTACAACTTCATTTTCCAACAAAATTGTTTTCCCTTATTCTCTCTACAAGTACACTGCTTTAGACTTTGATTAGAATTATTTTTTGAAGTTTTATTATTCTATTTTCATCCATATAAAACTTTCATTTGAAGAAAATGTGTAGCCTTCCATCCAAGAACAGACTGGATAACTTTATATTTGTAATAATAATAAGGATGCTAATCATACTAATTTAGCCATTGGGAGATCTTTTTTTTTTTTTCTGGCAGTACTGAGGCTTGAACCCAGCCCTCAATTGCAAATGTTGCACCAATCAATTTTATGTTTTCACTTAGGCCACTTCACTTTTAGCTTGTGGGTTGTTAGGTTTTTTGGTTTTGTTTTTACTTTGGTAGAATCTTGTACTTTTGCCCAGGTAGGCTTGTCCTCTGTCCTCTAATTGCATCCCTACACACACAGAGTAGAGGGATTATAGGCAAGTACCACCATGCCCTGCCTTTGATCTATTCTATTTATGGCAAGAAACAATGTGGTGTACAGTTTGGGGTCTGCATTTTATTTGTGAGTTGTAATTATGGATAACTATTTATGTACTAACTCAGAAAGTATATTCCAAGCTTAGAAATCTGCTCCTAAACCCCCATGGAATGTAGTGCCTTACTCAGAAAAAGAATGGAACACTAGCTCTGGTTACTCCTTGTCTTGTTTTCTTCACTGTAATCAGGGCTCTGTGGGCCATCAGAATTCTCAGCTGGTGAAGAGCAGGGGTGGGAGTGGAAAGGTAGGGAGATCTAAACCCCCATTGCTAGGAACTGTCATCTCTTATTTGGAATCTATGAGGAAAGAACTATGTAATCTCTTTTGTACATCAGAACAGGTAGCAGGCCTTCACAAGCAGCTATGGGTATCACTGCTGAACCTGCCCAGGGAGATAGTCCTGTACTTCTACTTGACTTCCTGCATTCTAAGCTTTTACTATATGACTCCCATAAACTCATGAAGGGTGAGTTGAATATATTGCAAGGCACTGGATAACTCCTTGTTATCCAGAGGTAACAAGGAGTGAGTGGAATAGGAAGGACCAACACTCAACCATGGCAGCACAGTGCATGTTCCAGACCAGGTTGGCAAAGTAGCAATAAGAGAATCTGGTGACATTGTCCCAAAGCCCCTGCTCCCTGTGTGTTCATGAGGTGTGTTGCAGTGAGGAGACCTGGAGTCTCCTCGCGGAAGAGGACCAGACTAGTGGCCCATTCTGTAGTAGTAAAATGGCCTCTCCTAGGCAACACCCATCCTCCATCCATGCTTCATCTCTCCTCCCACTTCTCAGCAGTGTGAGCAGATATCTTGTTAGAAACTGAGAGTTTCTGGGAGGTGGGGGATAGAAGTTGCTTCTTTTCCCTCACAGACCCCAGACTCGGGATCCTCACCCGCAAGCAAAGAAATGGTCATTGACCTGGTCAAGGCTCTCCAACTCCATGCAGGACTGAGAACGTACCTGTTCAGTACTTGGCACAGGGTAAGGACTCAGAAAGGGTAGCTCTTACATCTACTCAGGCTCATGATCCCTTCTCTTGCAGAATGCCAGCTGCCTCCAAAGGCATGGTTTGTGTAAAAATAGATTTTAAGTATATGCTTTTCTAAATTATAATCACAGTGACCTTTCCAAATAATTGGATGTCACTTGAAGACCCTTAATTTTTTAATGTGCTGTTTTCATTACATTTGGGGGAGGGGAAGAAATGACAAAATGGATCCTTTTTCCTATTTTCTCCAAGTTGTGCTTAGTAAAGCAATTCCCATCTTTAAATAGGATTCCTTGGCTACTGAGAAATGCAAATGTTCCAAAAGCAATTCATCTCAGAAATCCATATATCCAAAGATGAAGAATGCCAACTCATTCAGACTGCTTCACCACTCTTTTCCAGCAAAGGAAATTCTATTTAGGGTTGTTTTGGTTTGGTTTGATTTTTAGCAATAAGAAATGTTGTAGGAAAACACAAGCAAGTTCATACAGAGTACCCTCTTACTATATCCCTCTGGGGAGATCTGGATATTAGCTGTTTTGTAGTGACAGAAAGAAAATGAGTGATATTCTTTCATTTTCATATTCATACTATCTATTGAACAAAACTTCCAAACTAGTGTTTCCCAGACACCACATTTTGTCAGCTCAGTTCAGGTCATAAGGGATTTATTGGGCATCTGTAAGAAGCCCGCTCAGCACTAGAGCCTGAGGAAGGAACATGATGGGAAATATCCTATGACAGAGATTTGCTCATCATGTCACAAGGGTCCAAATCTCCAAGTAGTTCTGGGAATTCAAGGAAAATTTCCTGAAGGTGCATTAGTTAAACCAAATAAGTATAGTTTCCACTGGAAAATGCACAGCAAAAAGTTATAGGAGATAAGACTCAAGAAATAACCAGGGACATGAAAAGGTTTTAAGGGAAGAATAACACAATCAGTGCATTCTCTAAATAGAATCATCTGGTAGATGATCAGAGGAAATTCAGAGACAATGCTAAGGTTTCTAATCAGCTTTGACATGAGCCATAGGAAGAGAATTTTCAAGACATGTTTAGAATATAAAATTGGCAGTTTAGATCTTGAGCATGGGGGAGAGAGAGAAATCTCTTAAGATAATTCCCTTGATTTGTATCTTTTGGTTTTTTTTATTGGAATAAGAGATATGAAAATCAATTTTCATCAATTCATGACTCCTAAAATGTTATCCTAGGAAAAAGTTGACATTGCAAAACTGCACACATCTTAATTTATATTCCCTTTTTTCTGGATGTTAAAAAGGAGCTAAAACTATACAAAGGTAACATATTTTTTTAAACAATCCAATGAGTCACTAAGAGCCAGTGACACATGCCTATAATCCTAGCTACTCTGGAGACTGAGATCTAAGGATTGCAATTTGAAGCCAGCTTGGGCAGGAAGGCGGATGAAACAATCAGTAAAACACTGGAAGCAGAGCCGTGGCTCAAGTGGTAGAATGCTAGCCTTGAGCAAAAACGTTCAGAGATAGCACCCAGGCCCTGAGTTTAAGCCGCAATTCCAACACATACACACACAAAAAAAAAGAAAAAGAAAAAAGAAAAATTGCAGACTTGCTAAGCAAGTAAAATAAGGGTGATTATTCTCTGTATAATAGGATTCTTTGTGCTATGAAATCTTTAATAAATCTTCATCTGTCACTCTTAAGTTATCAGCTGTATATATAAATTTCTGGAGTATTATGAACAAAGGGCACTGATCCTGGACACACTCAGATAAATAGAAAAGGAAGAAGCCAGCCATGTTAGCCAAACAAAGAGCAAGGAGACAGAGCATCTTGGGCATAAGCTGCAGGTCCATGCACTGTGGGCAAAGAGGAGTGAACTTTCCTTACTTAGGGAGCAAGTAAGG